ATTAACAAAGAAACAGGTAAAAAATTAACAAGGAAACAGTGACTCTAAATGACATACTCGATTATATGAATTTAATTGATATTTGTAGAACATTTCACCCCAAAGCTGCAGAATATACATTCTTCTCAACTGCACATTGGTCATTCTCAAAGACAGACCACATGTTAGAACACAAGACAAGTCTCTACAAGTTCAAGAAGACTGAAATCATATCAAACATCTTCTCAGATCATAATGAAATGAAATCAGAAATCAACTACAGTAAAAACCCTCTAAAACATTCAAACACATGGAGGCTAAATAGAATGTTATTAAACAATGAATGGATTAACAATGAGATCAAGAAACAAACAAAAAACTTCCTGGAAACAAATGAAAATAAACACACAACAACCCAAGATTTCTGGGACATAGCAAAAGCAGTCCTAAGAGGGAAGTTCATAGTACCACACCTCAAAAAAACAAGAAAAATTGCCTGGCCGGCGTGGCCCAGTGGTTGAATGTTGACCTATGAATCAGGAGGTCATGGTTCATTTCTCTACCAGGGCATATGCCCAGATTGTAGGCTTGATCCCCAGTGGGGGATGTGCAGGAAGCAGACAAACAATGATTCTCTCTCATTATTGATGTTTCTCTCTCTCTCTCTCCTTCTCCCTTCCTCTCTGAAATCAATACAAACATTTTTTAAAAAAACAAGGAACATTTACAATAAACTATTTAACCCTACAACTTAAAGAATTAGAAAGAGAACAACATGAAAAGCCCAGAGTGAGTAGAAGGAAGGAAATAATAAAAAATTAGGGCAGAAATAAATGACATAGAGGCTTAAAAGACAATTTAAAAAATCAATGAAATCAAGAGCTGGTTCACTGAAGAGATAAACAAGATTGATGAACCTTTAGCAAGACTTATCAAGAAACAAAGAGAAAAACTGTGGTATCTCTACACAATGGAATACTACACTGCTGTAAAAAAGAAAGAATTCTTACCATTTGCAACAGCATGGATGGACCTGGAGAGTATTATGCTAAGTGAAATAATCCAGTCAGAGAAAGATAAATATCACATGATCTCATTCATTTGTGGAACATAATGAACAACATAAACTGATGAACAAAAATAGATCCAGAGTCATAGAAGCATTGAACTGACCGTCAAGCCTCAGAGGGAAGGCGGGGTTGGGTGGGGTGGGGTGAGGAGGGTAAGAGATCAACCAAAGGACTTGTATGCATATATATAAGCATAACAAATGGACACAGACAATAGGGGGGTGAGGGCCTGTGATGGGGGGTGGGAGCAGCTAGGGAGAGGTCAATGGGGGAAAAAGGAGACATATTTCATACTTTAAACAATAAAGAATTTAAATTAAAAAAAAGAAACAGAGAGGACCCAAATAAGTAAAATCAGAAACTAAAGTGATGAAGTACAACTGACACCACAGAAATAAAAAGGAACTACTATGTAAGAAACTACTATGAACAACTATATGCCAATAAGCTGGACAATGTGGATGAAATAGAAAAATTCCTAAAAAAATACAATTTTCCAAAACTGAATCAGGAAGAATCATAAAATCTGAATAGGCCAATAACAACTGAAGAAACAGAAGCAATAATAATTAAAAAAAAACTCCCAGCAGACAAAAGCCCTGGTTTGGCTGGGTTCACAGGGGAGTTTTACCAAACCTTCAAAGAACAATTAACACCTCTTTCTCAAACTACTGGTATTCCAAAAAAAATTCAAACGGAAGCAACTCTTCCAACCTCTTTTTCTGAGGCCAGCATTATCCTAATTGCAAGCTAGATAAAGACACTACAAAGAAAGAGAATTACAGGCCAATATACCTGATGAACATAAATACTGAAATCTTCAACAAAATATTAACAAATCAGATTCAGCAATACATTAAAAGATCATATACCATGACAAAGTGAGATTTATTCTAGGGATGCAAGGCTGTTACAAAATTCACAAATCAATAAATGTGATACATCACATAAACAAATTGAAAGACAAAAATCATATGATCTCATATCAATAGTCGCAAAAAAAGCATTCAACAAAATCCAACATCCATTTTTTATATAAAATTTTCAACAAAGTGGGAATAGAGGAATCATATCTCAGCATAATAAATGCCATGTATGACAAACTTACAGCCAACATCATACTCAATGGGCAAAAACTAAAACCACTTCCCCAAAGAACAGGAACAAGACAAGGATGTCCGCTTTCATCACTCTTTTTTTACATAGTACTGGAAGTTTTAGTCACAGCAATCAGACAAGAAGAAATAAAAGGTATCCAAATTGGAAAGGAGGAAGTAAAACTGCCATTATTCGCAGATTACATGATACTGTACATAGAAAACATTAAAGACTGCTAGATTTAATAAATGAATTTGGCAAAGTAGCAGGATATAAAATTAACACCCAGAAATCAATGGCATTTTTATGTACCAATAATAAACTCTCAGAAAGAGAAACTAAAAAAGTAATTTAGCACTGCAACAACAACAAAGATAACAAGGAATAAACTTAACCAAGGAGGTAAAAGACCTGTACTCAGAAAACTATAGGATATTATAAAAGAAAATACTGGAAGATACAAACAAATGGAAGTATATATCGTGTTCATGGATTGGTAGAATTAACATCATTAAAATGTCCATACTAACCAAAGCAATCTATAGATTCAAGGCAATCCTTATTAAAATACCAACGGTATATTTCACAGATCTAGAATAAATATTGAAAAAATGTATATGGAACCAAAAAAGACCCCAAGTAGCCTCAGCAATCTTGAGAATGAAGAACAAAGTTGGAGGGATCACAATACCAGATATCAAACTATGCTGCAAAGCTATTGTAATCAAAATAGCCTGGTACTGTCACAAGAACAGGTATATAGATCAATGAAACAGAACAGAGGACCCAGAAATCAACCTAAGCCCTGATGCTCAATTAATATTTGACAAAGGAGGCAAGAGCATATGATGGAGTAAAGACAGTCTCTTCAATAAATGATGCTGGGAAAACTGAACAGGTACATGCAAAAAAAACAATAACAACAAAACACACAAAAAAGAAACTAGACCACCAACTTACACCATACACAAGAATAAATTCAAAATGGATAAAAGACTTAAATGTAAGGGTGAGTGGGCGGGTGGGAAGAGATCAACCAAAGAACTTGTATGCATATATGCATAACCCATGGGCATAGACAATAGCGTGATCAAGGCCTGGAGTGGGAGCCGGGGATGGGCTAGAAGTGGTCAATGGAGGGAAAAAAGTGGGACATATCTAATACTTTCAACTATAAAGATTTAAAATAAATAAATAAACCAATAAAAATATAAATTAATTAATTAAATATGCAAGTAGGAATCCATTAAATTCTATCTCACTATTAACTGCCCTGTATACTGTATATATCATTCTTATATTCAGCATAATTGGGGTTAATTTTAGGGCTCAGAGCATCTGAAGGAAAATCGTGTTTTCACTAGAAGTAAAATCCAAGGTTAATTCCCTCTTGTCCTTCCCTCTATGAATATAAAGGTCTCAATCCTGAAAGATGGATATCCTGAGAAGTGGGGAGTACAAAAAGGTCATCTCTTAACTTTAAACTGAATACTCTCATTATGAAAGTTCCCAAAGCTTGTTGATGATATGTAAGGATCTGGATTTGAAAGAAAGGGGTACAAAAGCATTTATCTTTGTAAAGGAGATAAAAATCTCTTTTAAAGTGAGTTTGTTTTTACTATGTGAGGAGTTTCTCTTCCTTCAGAT